GGATTGGCAATAGATGTTAGCTCAGTGCCGGTCTTCCTCAGCAAAAAAAAGAGGAGGATTAGCATGGATGTTAGCTCAGGGCTGATCTTCCTCACAAAAAATAAAAATAAAAATAAAAATTGTTTAAAGACAAGGTTCGCTGTCAACCTTCAAGTCTAGATTAAGCAACAAACATCAACAGTAAGTAATTTAGAATACTATTTTTACATTAACACCAGCAAGGACAGATTACGGAGTAGAATGCAAAATTACCTTAGTGGTAATAAACCAGATCTCAAAGACATTTCATGCCTGGGTGCACGCCCCCAAACCCTGGGCTGGGGAATGCACTGGGGCTCTTGTGCACTGGGCTCTTCAGGGAAAGGTTTGAGATTGCTCTGTAGAGTAGTGAATGCAACTTCTGAAAAACATTTTCTTCACTATGCATAGAACATCCTGAACAGAATTTCAGAGCCTGAGGGGACTTTAGGAGACCATTTAATTCAAGCACTGTTTTACAGATGAGGAGGTGGAGGTCAGAGCGGTTAAGTGACTTACCCAAAGTCACCCAGAGTGGCAGTGGCAGAGTCTTGCTCTCCCAGATCCTGTCCCTTGCATGTCCGGCTGCACCACATTGCCTCTGACATTTGCTTGTCACTGCTGCTTGCTACCCACACACTGCCCTTCCTCCCTACACCTTCAGGCTCCCTAATCAATAATGGATGCTTAATACAAAGCTACTCCCAGGTGAAGACAAACGGCCCTGCATGCTATGATTTTTCCCACCCCTGAGCTGCGCTATGCAATTCCAGTCATGCTGGTGGATCTGTTATTACGTGAATTGATAGTCATGCCTCAAGCAGAGCAAAAATATGCTTCTTAAAACAATATCCTCCTCTCCCACTCTCCCAGGAGGCCTGCAGTGGGGCTGTGCCGGGTTGGGGGTGCCCTGAGGAAGTTTGCGCTGGGCAGGTGGAGACACTTTCTCCAGGCTCCCACTGCATCCACCCACAACGCTCCACGGGAATCAGCCTCCGCTCCCCCGAAGGTGTCGATCTTCATGGGAGGGGAGGGGCTTCCTTTAACTGGAGGCCCAGAGTGACAACGCAAGTATGACCTCAACAGGTTTGCTCACGCCTCCTTCTGAAGAACTCCTGTTTTCCCACCATTCTCACTTGACTTTTGGTCTCTTGACATCTACAGGTGGAAACAAGACAAACTCTCATTATACTCTGGGCCCCTTCCTCACTTGTATTTGCTTATTTAATGTTTCTCTTGCCCAAGTCTGGATGCTCCCTCAGCCGGTCTCACCCCTGTCCCTCATGAGCTTAGCATAAGGCACATGGTGTTCAATAAAACTTAGTGAAATTGAACCCAAATGAAAAAATTCTGTCTAATTGCCCACAGGGTGGAATTTGAGGTTAAGATAAAGGGCCCACATTCCCTAACAAATTTCCTCCAATACTAATGAGCTCCACGATCACAGCTAAGTCACACGGACTCCCTAAGACTCGGGCTCCCTGTCTGTAAAATGGGAGAGATGATCTATGGTCTGGGAACCCTCTGGTTCTCAAATTTACTGCTTCTTGGAGTCTTTCTGCTCTAGGAGAGCACAGATTCCTCTACCGTCATTATTCTTGGGGGACTCTGATGACTACTCATGAAGGGAACCTTTCCCGGCTCTGTACAGCCTCCCTCGCCCCCTCAAAATATATGAGCAGTGCTAAGTTTGCTCTTTTACTTAACAGATAATTATTGATTTCAACCCTGGGTTGGGAATCATGGATACAACAAGTAGTAAGATAGTGACCCAGCCCTCAAGGAGCTCCAGGGCTATAGGAGAGACAAATAACGACGACAATAACAGCAGCAGCTCACGTTGATTAATGGCTCATGTGCCGGACACTACTGTAAGTGCTTTAGGTATATTCACTCTTTTCCTTACAGTAACCTATGAGGTAACAACTCTATTACCCCTATTTTACAGATGAAGAAACTGAGGCATTGAGAGATCAAAGTGTTGCCCATCATCGGCGGAGCTGGGTTCTGCACCCAGACAGTCTGCTTCCAGCACCCAAGCCCTTCCCCTGTACAGACACCACAGATGCATCACCACACCACAGATATGGGCTCTGACGAGGGGCGGACAGACTCTGTGACCCGGAGGACAGACCATAAACTAGGTGTTGAGATAATCTACCTCAGAGATTACCATAGGGATGAACAGCATCCAAATGTAAATATCAAGTGCTTAGAAGAATGCCTGGCACAGAAACATTTAATACATGTTAGCTGCTTTCATAATTGTTATCTGCCTCCTCCC